TTCGTCGTTTAGAAAGCAATTGGAATATACCATCTGCGCTTTCTCCCCGATTGTTTCGAACGAAAGCGGACGGTATTTTTTCGCAGATTCGTGTTCGTGGTCGACACCGAGCGCATTGATCGAAACGCGAATAAAAGAGTGGCATGCGCGCGAATCGTTTCCGCCTGTGTGTAAAATGAATACCATATATACGCTCGCAATATACTTTCGAACGGAATACTCGCGAGAAAATGAGGGGAGTCCGAAGGCGCGAGACCGCGCGCGTGGAAATTATCGTTGGAATGACGGCACCGGTCATTCAACTGGTAAGCCTTTCCCAAGCGGAACTCACTCAGTTTTTCTTATAATCCTAATCGCTATTAATGTTGTAAATTGTGAGAAAAAGTCGGCCTTTCGCACGATATAGCTATATACGCTACTGTTTGAGAAGAGCTCTCCTTACCTATTTTTTTTCTCCAGGGCAATGATTTTCCAAGTAGGAAGCATACAAAAACGTGTAAAATTTCCACATTACAATAACGAGAATAAATGATATTGTTTCACAAAATGCTGCAGTAATGATATATGATTATCGACGACATGCAGGGCTCGAATATCGCGGTTATTCATTTAATATAAGTAAACAAGTTGTTTATTTCCCAAATATCATTTAATTTTCTAATAAAACTTTTTTATGTATTTGTTTTCGTGCGCTGTCTTCTCATTTATTAATCAAGAATGACCTCTATCAAGCTAACAGAACCAAATGAGCAGAATCAAACCGAACCTACCCAATTTTTTAGTACTCAATTTGTACTAATTTGTACCACCAATAAAAATTTTGTACCTCGTGTCGTTTTGAAGAAAAACGTGGCGCTGCTAGCTTTATATTAAGCTAGCAGGACCACAAAAAAATTTAAAAAATAAATAAATAAAAGTATGTACAATTAGTACTGATTTTGTACTAATTTGTGCTACCAATAAAAATTTTGTACCTCGTGCCGTTTTGAAGAAAAACGTGGCGCTGCTAGCTTTATATTAAGCTAGCAGGACAGATCGGAAGAGCACACGTCT